GACCACAGCAACGAAAAAGAATACTATAGATACATCCCCCCCCCCCCCTTACAGACTGCAACAACCGCGCATAAAACGCTGCAGATTTATTTAGCAATAAAAAGAAGCAAGTTAAACAATATTAAGAATATCAGTTCGACTGCTATATAATATCTCAGTACTTTCATACTTATTTAAAAAAATTTATATACTTGTTAAAGTTCGTAATAATGTAGTCGTGGATCTTTCTTTTAATTTGAGCTTGCGTGCTAAAAATCAAGGAGGCAAAGTATTAATATATATGGATCTGTTATAGCAGTCATATAATTAATATGAGATGTATGATTCGATCTTTTTATCAGTGTGAATGATAAACAATATCGGCATTATAGATTAATTGAGACATAGGCTAATGTAAGAGTTGTTAATACATATAACCCACATTATTCTAATAGTTCTATTCATAAAATAGTTGATGGTGGAGAAAAATAATTTCAAATTAAAAAACAAAAAAAAATGATTATTATCGAGTATATAGCAATAATTATAAATGAAATCGAGCGCGCTTAAATGAAAAAACAATATTTTCGTTTTTTAATATATTTTTTTTATATACAAATAAATAATAAATTCCCACTCTTTTCATCGATTTTCAATGAAAACAACTATAGTTGACACGAAGTCTTTCAGTATACAGATGATGCGTCAGATAACAAAGCTAAACGTATACGTGAGGTCCACATTTTAGCTCCGCACGAGCTGCGCTAACAAGCTTTTTTTTGGAAGCAGCCTAGACTGTTTTGAATAATCGATAAATCTTCGCAAGTTCCATAACTATTTTCAGTTTTTCGAGGATAATAATGAGAGATTAATCTCAAGTTAAAGGATTACACAAGAATTCTTGTGCTAAAAATTCAGCTCCATTCTAGTACTCTTATACTCTAATAAAACATTTGCAAACGTACTTACAAAATTACATCGTATATACGACTGTCATACTATACTTGCTTTTTTTTTACTTTCTATGATTAAAAATGGATATTGAACCACTAATCATTTTATTTCTGTGTAGACCAAATGTCCCTAATGTCGACACAAGAATTTTCTCTTATCTTGCTTGAGTCCGCGCGCAGCTAATTAAAACATGAGGCAAAATATTTTTATATCTGCATATTCACTGAACTCTGCTCTTTCAAATGGTATATCGACGGCCTTTTTCTTGAATGTTTTCACTTAGAAACCAGCGGTCTACGATGATGACCTTCATCTGTCGAAATTAGGAGCATTTTCCGTAATTTCGACACCAAGCCATTTTTTGCCCCTAATTTCGACAGCAAGCTATTTTTGTGCGGAATTGTTTCAGATCGCTACAAAGCTGATATAAAATCTCTTAACCAGATTTCTGGGGAACCAAAATGTGAAACACGATATAGCTATTGTAATCCAAGTTACTCAGATCTGTCTCGATATGTAGGAAGAGAAATATATGCAATTTCTTATCTGTATATAGCTCAACATTTCTTTTAGTGTGTTATTTACAAGAGGCTTTAGATCTAATAGAACTTTATTCATAAGCTCTTTCCTGTACATATATTATTATACTTGTATCATTATTCACCAA